ATAAATACACAATTTGTTATGATTTGTATCCTATAGAAACTAGGGTTTTCTTGATTCTAAAGATTCAAGAAATTAATTAATTAATTAATTAATTAATTATTATTATTTATTTTTATTTTTTTGTGTTTATTGGGACTCTATTCAAGATTGCTTTTAATATGCATCAACTTTATCAAGGCATGCATTGAAACTATCAATTCGCAATTTTTTTTATTTGTAATTATGTGAATAAAATTCAAATTCACATAATGGTAAATAAAGTATAATTAAACTAAATTTGCACATTACTAAGACTCACATGCTTATCACTTGGGAATCTCCCACTTTTGTATTTTTTCCCACTAAAACATAAATAATGATAATATAAATATGTTGGTCAATATCTTTTTTATTTGTTCCTTATTCATTGTTTTACATAATGTCTGACTGAAATTAAATACAAGTCAGCAGCTTTGTTAGATTTTATTTTTTTTAAATGTTTGGATGAGTTAAAAAAAAATTTAATTTACGAGTAAAGCAAGTTTGGAACAATTTATATATTCTAATTTAAAATAAAATGAATGATCGTATAAGTCAGTTAAAAAGATTCACGATCTCATTCTTCAGGTCCACACGATGATTTTTTAATTGATTTTTTTGCTTTTTACCGTTGGTTCATCCTTAAGCAATCATCATGTGGAAGAGTAGATGAAATATCCTTAGGAGGAATAGACAATTTGTTTGAATTAATCAATGTTCAAACATGTTGCTGAAACTTGTCATAAAAACAAATAAAGTTATATAGTTTTATGATATCGAAAATTAATAGTTTAGTCATCCAAAAGAGATATCTTGTTATGATAAATATTTATGGGCTGTATTTTAGAAATTAGTACTATAAATAAAATTTATATTGAAGAATTATATAATTTTAAAATTAATTGTAAGCATACATATAATTATCTGCGCGCGACTTTATAAATTTGATACTTCACCAACCATTTTTTAATTAAAATAAAAAACACGATAAACCAAAAATAATTTAATTAATAAGCACGCGAATGAAATTAAATTTTTAATAAGCATTTATGTCATAAGAAAATCATCAATGGTAAGTGAGCCACTGAGCACATTTTATATATGTTTTATTTTGAAACAAAAAAGAAAAATTCTTTAAAAAAATAAAAAATAAATAAAATTTACTGAAAAGAATTATGTACCAACCTCCAATTTGGAAAAAAAATAAAAATAAAAATATTCTTTTAAGCCTGATAAAGTGTGCTTCGTGTTTGTGGACAGCAAGCGAAATTAATGATTTATTGAGTACTTCTAGCAAGAAATGTAATAATTGCAATCAAATGAAAATTAACGAGATAATCGTTAACTAAACACAATAAATCACCTAATAATTCAATTAAGAACTCCGATAATAGTAAAAGTGTATATTTATCTCCAGATTGTACCATGTGTCTAAATTAATAACTTGCATCTCAAGTCGTTAAAATTCACAAATCATGAACAAGTGATCGAGTAATTGAAGAAATAAAATAAATATATAATTAATTAACTATATAAAACTTGAGGATTTAAATTAAAGGTTCAAAATTAGGTTGTTTCAAATAAAAAAATATAGCTACTCATCATTAAAAAAAATAAAATAAAAATTAGGGGTGAATATGGTTCCATTTGATTCTATTTTTTGATAATGGAACCAATAATTTTTTTTAAGCTATGGAACAAAGTTGGAACCGAACCATTCGACTCTGGTTTGGCTCTAATTCCATTACTTAAATACACATTAAAATCTATCACTATATTCAAAAAAATATGCATCAAACATTAAGCAAAGTCAGGTTCTAAGTATCAATCATCAAATAAAATATTGTATAATAAAATTCATTCATAAAAGTCCATCCCAATAAATAAAATATAGTCATAATTTGAATACACTTCATCCTCATACAAAATATTGTCTAATAACAATGATTCACTAATATAGACGAATGGGTCATTAACAAAAGTGAAATTTTTTGGCATGGTTCATTGATATGTATATATACATAAAGTTAAGTTTGGTTCTAGAACGAGAACCTAACCAGAACCAAAATTATTAATAATTTTTGTATAATCAAATCGAATCGCTCAATTTGGTTTAGTTCTGATTTGGTTTGGTTTGATAATTTTCTCCACTCCTAAAAAAATGTGTAAAAAATTAGAATTCATAACTTGGTATAAAACCTATGAAACGTAACGAATGTGTTGAAGATATTGCGAATGTTTTCTAATGGATATAGGTCTACAAAAAGTTCAAAATCAACTTTGAAAAAGAATTCCAAAATTAGGTTCTGATTCGTAAATCCTATAATGCCTATGAGATTTTTGTAGGGGCGGCCTATGGGACTAGGAATTGTAACTCGGGTCCTCTACCAATCAATCTGTGTATTTTGTTCCTAGATTATTGTTTTCGTACACTTTTGATCCATTACTTTGCCTCTGGATTGAGTCTTCAACTTCTAAATCTTCTACTTTAGTCCTTCAACTTCTATTTTCTCCAATTTTGTTTCTCCAAAGTGTTAAGTACGTCCAAGTTAGTCCCTATACTTCTTCAAAAGTGGGTCCCTATAACTTGTAAAATCACCCAATCAACTCTTCCAAGTTTTCGATCTAGTTCTAACTTTTCGATATCTCTTCAAGTTCACATGTTTAGCTTAATTCACTTCCTCAACTGTTTATCAAATCTTCAAACTCGAAGTTTTTACCTATACAGCTATACCAAACAAATATATACACCACATGAAGCAAAAATTTCATTAATAAATCAATCTTTTGCACGTCTAAAAATTTAGATAAATGTGTATAACAAATATATAAAATTTCAAATGATTTTCAACTATTGAAATCTAAATCAAAAATTGTTTCAAATTGGATGAGTCCTCGTGGACTCAAAACAACGATTTATGAACAATTGTTTCAGTTCAATTTCATAGTTTTGGCTATATTATTATTATTATTTTTTATTTATTTATTTATTTATTTATTTTTGGGTACCTCTTACTCTCCAGCCATGATGGATAGTAATTGCCACCAAAGAAAGATGATATAAATGATGTCGATATCATTGTTTGGCGTAGATTAAAATTAAATTTTTAATAGATTTTAATAAAAGTCAATAGAATTTGTGATTAAAAAGTTGTGAGTTTCATAGAATATATGACGAAGATTAATTATTGATTTTGATTTAAAATTTTTAGTAAATTTTAATCTACACCAAACATGAACTATTAATAAATCAGCATTCACAAAACATAAATATTTACATTAATAAGTTTAATATCTCCATAAAAATAATAGGATTCGCATTATAAATAAATCAATATTTACACCCCGAGACTACAATATTTTACCTTATAAATTCAACACAAATTGAAAAAACATGTATAAAATAAAGTCAGGTATTATTAGTAAAGATGAATTTTGATTTTCTAAACTTTCTATTTTAGGTTAATATGAAAACGTGTAAAAATATACTATCGGGAAATTATGTATCGCCAAATTAATTTGTTTTCTCGTTTTATATTTGGTTAACATTTAAAAATTTAAAACAATAAGCAGTAATTATTGCCAAATAAGTTAATTAAAGAAAACAATTTCAAAATTTGTCAAAATTTCTTTATATTTTAAATATATGATTGAATATCTTAATTAGGAAACAAATCATGCCATTTATTTAAGAAAAAATTGCACTTTTCATCCCCAATTTATGCAAAATATATCAAATTTGTCTTCAACCTTTCTAGCATGTCCATCCACAACATTTCAGTTATGTAGCAAACTCGTCATTTGCTCCATTTTGGACATTAATAATGGATTTTCACTTCTTTTCAAATAATGAAAATAAAAGAGATCAGTAAATTAACAAAAATAAAAAAAATTACAAATAGAATCCTATAACTTTTCAAAAAGTAAAAATAAATCACATATAAAAAAGAACTTTAAAAAATTACATATTTCCTAACCAACCTTACCCACTCACTCTCGTCAACCCCCACTGTGCTTGAGAAAAAAACCAGCCTCATGTAATATACTATTGATTGACTTCTTCTTTCTTAAAGATAATAATGACTTGACTTCTTCAATTCTGCTACATTGTTAGACAGTTTTGATACATTCTTTGATCTAATGTTATATGTCATTCTGTCATTCGTCTGTTTGAAAAACACAATAATTTTGTACCAATGAAAATCTGTCAACACTGATTTGTCAAAAAGGTGGATACCAAATTCTGACAAAACAGCTTAATTCTGACTTCTTTTTTGTTTCATAATGTCGACAATTTAATTAAATTAGTCATGCCAATGAACTCAATAAAATGGTCTATTTTATTTGATTATCAAAAAACTATTTAATATGGACTATGTTAAGCTTTAGTAGTAAGAAAAAGAAAAAGGACAATTTTTTTTTTTGAAAAATATTTTGTTTATCCATTTATCTATAGCGATATGTACACTTCCATTTTTTTTATTTTTTTATTTTTACAATGAATCGAAACATATGATTAATAAGAACCACCAGCCTAGAGGTGATGTTCGGCCATGGGTGAAGTGAATTAGGTGGGATGTGGTGTGGTGGGTTGGGGGTGGTTGTTGATGAAGTGAGTGGGTGAGCTTCATTACGAAAGATAATTTTTAAAAATTTTTTTTATGTGTTAATATGTATTTAATTATTTTAAGTGAGTTTTATTTGTACTTTTGAAAAGTTATGAAATTTTATTTATAATTTTTTTGGTTGTTTGTTGATTTATTTATTTTTTGTTTATTTAAAACAGAGGACAAAGTCATCATTTAGGCAAAAATTTGAGGGAAAGAAGACTTCTGCTATGTAATTCAAATGTTTGGATGGATTATGGCTTAAAAAGATTAAGGGATATTTGTTATATTCCACAAAGGTTGAGGATGAAAAATGCAAATTCTCTTTATTTAAATATATAAAACGGCCAATTTTCTGTTCATTCTTTCCACAGCGAACTCCAGACAAAGACAATATCAGTCTTTTTCTTTCTCCGAAGTCGGTCATCTTCTCACTCTAGACACCCCATTAATGGAGGGAACTCAACTTTACAAACTCCAAACAGAAACAAAACGCTATACTGTATAGTCTTAAAACTTCTGGCGCCATTCTTTCGCCTACCAATCTTTCAAAGCATCTCTCGTTTTATCCCCTTTTTCTTATTACAATAATTTATAGCACTTAAAATCATAAATTTACAGTAGATCTCTACCACATCTGTTTAAGAAAAAAAGATAGCAATGGAAGATAAGGAGAGCACTGAGTCGGGTTCACCAGGCGGGAAATCAGAGTCTGAGTCACCACCAATCACTAGTGGTGGTGACACTGTTGGTGTTGCTGCTACTGGCGGCGACACTGTTAGTTGCGGTGGTGGGGTTGCGCTGCAGGCGATGAACGTGAGCATTGAAAGAAGTGTAGGGGTTATAAACGCACCAGCAATCACAGTGGGTGGAATTTTGGGCGTCAGCGGCGGAAGTGGAAGTGGAGGTGGAGGTGGGAAGAAGAGAGGGAGGCCAAGAAAGTATGACTCAGATGGGAACCTAAGAGTTCCACTTGTAGGATCTCCACCAGGTGGAGTTATTCTGCCGCCGGCTCCGTCGGTCGGCTTTACTTTATCTCCTAATCCGGCATCCAAGTACTCATCTGGCTCCAAGAAAGGGCGTGGTAGGCCTACCGGTTCTGGCAACTGGCAAATTCTTGCTTCTTTGGGTCAGAAATTTCAAACAATCTCTGTACTCTATGCATTTGTTAATAAATTTTTGCAATTATCTTATATCCATTCTTGTGGGTCTATGACAAATTTGAATTCC